TAATATTAACACAAAAAATTATAAAAAATAAAAATTATAAAATGTAACTATTGCAATATTAATGTTCTTAATTTTCTTTATGAAAACTTATAGAAAAAATAAAATTAAAAAAACAGCCAATGGAACATTTAATAAAATAACAGTAATAAAATAATTCGTATTTTTTACATTTTGTTGCTTAAGTTAAAACGTATATATTTGACAACATTCATAAACATAAATATCTGTATTTTAATGGGGATTAAAGGAAACTATAAATGTAAATTAACAATAATATGTTTTTGTATGGTTAGGCTGTTCACTTTTACTGTGCCTTTACCAGGATATCTCTTTAGTCTCGAGCGCCTGTAGCATTTGAGCGAGACTCGCAAAACTGTGCCTGGCCTCGGGCTGCAGCTGCTGGTTACTTCGTTGTAGTGGCTGCTCCTTGTTTTCTTCCTGCACGAGCAGACTGCACCAACCACTATTTCGAGCACCCATGTAATCCATGTCCAGCTTGTTGCCAATGTGCAGCGCTTCGGCAGGTGCAACATTCCGGCCCTTCTGCAAAGCCAATTGGAATATGCCGGAATTTGGTTTCATGACGCCCGCGTCGTAGGAGTTGATGATGAAATCAAATTTATCACTGAATCCCATGGCGTTGAGCACCTGACACAGCGAGGGATCAAAATTTGAGATGATGCCCACACATTTGCCGGTGTCCCGAACGCGTTCCACGAAGCTGGTTGCTCCATCGATTCGTGTCCAGCAGGCGCTGGTGCGAAAGACATCGAGCAGCTGTTCGGCTACTGTTTGCAATTTTGCTTTAGGTAGATTGGCATCGGCGCAAGTGAATGTATCGATCACCAGCTGATGCCACCAGGTTTGCCAATTCATGTTTGGCGAACAGCTCCCAAAATTTGCGTGCGTTTTGCTCATCAATTTAAAATGCTGTCGAAAGCAGGGTTCCAGCTGTTCTTTGGTTATACCGGTTATTCCACATGCTGCGGCCGTTTGAGCGTATTGCTTGATGGGATCCTTAAGTCGGAGCAGAGTATCAGTTACGTCAAAGGTCACTAGTCGGAACCGCTGCAAATTGCGCACAAATTGAGCGGTTAACGGCATTATGGCATAATAGGACAGTCTCTATAGGTTGTTTACTATGCTATGTAATGCAGTATTTTTGCTGTGTATTTGTGACGTCAGAAGCACTGATCGTTGATATATTGTGGCAACTACTCGAAACGTGAAATTTGATTTCATTTAACTGCTCTTCAAATTTTAATGCTTACTTTGTCTTTGTTTTGATCTTGCTATTTGGAATTCGGAAAATATTGTGAAGTAGCTCACATTATATTTTACTTGCGCTTGACGTCGCAAATACACATTATCAGATCTAAATTGTGTTAACTAGTGCTCAAGAAATTACAAAATAAGAATGATGTTTTAATTCCTTTTAAGCCATTATATATTGCCAAAAATATATAACATATGGTATTGTCCAGCTTATTGATCTGTGTTATTTATCCATTGCCAGTGAACAGCGTACTGAATTGAAATTATTTTGCTAAAGTTTGGTATATACTTTTTAGTATTTGTCTAAAATGTTTACCATGTGACGGTCACACTGTTTTGCAAAACTGCAATATCATTAGAGACGGCTTCATTTTAATAAGTTAAAAGTGTTTATGTTTATAGTTTATTGAAAACATTTAAAAAACAAACAGCTAAGATGACTGTGACTGCCGCACCATGCAACGAAAGTATAAGAGAAAAGGCCCTGTCCGACTACAGAAAAAAGCTACTGGAACACAAAGAAGTTGAGGGTCGACTCAAAGAAAGTGGGTATATCATTAAAACAAATTATTTCTTTAATCAAATAGTTAAAAATTATTAAATTACCCAGAGCGTGAAGAACTGAAGGAGTTGACCAAACTATATGACAAATCCGAGAATGATTTGAAGGCGCTGCAAAGCGTGGGCCAAATTGTCGGCGAGGTGCTGAAGCAATTGACAGAGGATAAGTGTAAGCCGACTGCAAATATCCTGCTGCAATAGGTATATGTAAATGACTTGTTATTTACAGTTATTGTGAAGGCTACGAATGGGCCGCGCTATGTGGTTGGTTGCCGTCGACAATTGGATAAGGCAAAATTGAAGTCTGGCACTCGTGTTGCCTTGGATATGACCACGTTGACCATAATGCGTTATTTGCCACGTGAAGTCGATCCGTTGGTCTACAACATGTCCCATGAGGATCCTGGCGATGTCACCTACTCCGCTATTGGTGGTCTTACAGAGCAAATACGTGAACTACGTGAAGTTATCGAATTGCCGTTGCTTAATCCTGAGCTATTCCTGCGCGTTGGCATCACGCCTCCAAAGGGTTGCTTGCTTTATGGGCCGCCTGGCACGGGTAAAACTTTGCTAGCACGCGCAGTTGCCTCCCAGCTGGATGCGAATTTCCTGAAGGTTGTTTCTTCGGCCATTGTGGACAAATATATTGGCGAGAGCGCACGATTGATACGTGAAATGTTTAACTATGCACGCGACCATCAGCCCTGCATCATATTCATGGATGAGATCGATGCGATTGGTGGTCGACGCTTCTCAGAGGGCACCTCCGCCGATCGCGAGATACAGCGCACGCTGATGGAGCTGCTCAATCAAATGGATGGTTTCGATTCGTTGGGTCAGGTGAAAATGATTATGGCCACCAATCGCCCAGATACCCTGGATCCCGCTCTGCTGCGACCTGGTCGTCTGGATCGTAAAATTGAAATTCCCCTGCCCAATGAGCAGGCGCGTTTGGAGATCCTAAAGATTCATGCGCTTAAGATCGCAAAGCATGGTGAAATCGATTACGAAGCTATAGTCAAATTGTCGGACAACTTTAATGGTGCCGATTTGCGTAATGTCTGCACCGAGGCGGGACTTTTTGCCATCAGGTAATACCCTAGATAATATAATACTAATGTCCTAAATATATATGTATCTATATATGTATGTATAGGTTAGGTCAATGTATCTATAAGCTTATTGTATAGGTCCAGCTCTATTTACGCATATTCAAATTTCTTTTGCAGAGCTGAACGGGAATATGTAATTCAGGAGGACTTCATGAAGGCCGTGCGTAAAGTCTCGGACAACAAGAAGCTCGAAAGCAAATTGGATTACAAACCGGTTTAATTTTCACTTATTTTTAATATTAAATATATTACATACTTGTCTGCAGAAACCAATATACATATACAAATGAAATTAAATCTTCTTAACTGTTGAGTTTATTATACAATTTTGAATCATATTTAGCTATCAGCAGTCCCACGATTACATACACTCAAAATGCAGCCCGCCCTTGTAAAGATCGACATCCTTGCTAACAGTACACAAGGGCAATCTGTATACATACAATTTCTCTTCTCTTCATTGTATGCAGGAGATTTAATTGATGAATTTCTACTAAGACTAGATGAGGTACTGTTGTTGCTGCAGCTGCTCCTGTAGGTCTTATTTCAGCTGTTATTATCGGTGTTGATGCTGCTCCTCATCCTTCTCCTGAGGGTCTCATTTCTGATGTTGCTGTTGTTGGTCCTCGATTCGTCGCTTTTTACGTTCCATGTATTCGCTGATGTTGTCATATCGCTTCTTGAACCACGCGGACAGGTCTTCTGGCACGCATGTTTGTTCCGCAAAGTTTTCCATGACCATGTCCAGCCAACCCGCTGGCACGGACTCCGCCTGCTTTCCATCGGCGCTGTTGTATACGCGTAGCGTTAGGCGTTCGTTTACAGCACCTGCCACATAGATCCGATCGCTGGTCAAAGCAAAGTTGCTTACGCTCCAGCTACCCGCCTCTGCGCGCACCAAAGACTCCTTGGCAATCGACCAGGCATCCTCTTTCAGCTCCAATTCATAGAGGCCAATGGCTTCTACATGGTCGTAGAATAGCACGGCTAGTAGATAACGCTTGGATTGGATAAGCTCACGCATCTGAAGCCGCACAGCTGGAGCAGGCAACTGTTGCTGCAGTACCTCCTTGCCCGTCAGATAGTTCCACAAGCGCAATGTTTTATCACCTGAAATAGATATTAGGAGACCTTCGTTGCCTGGCAGCAATGCCAGCCCGGATACAAACTCTTTGTGGCCCAGACAATAGCTGTGTATATCATGGGTAGCCGGATAGTTTGTCACTCGAATCTTGTCATCCCGATCGCAGGTGATGATATGCTTCAGATCCGGTGTCCACACTATGTCGTAAACAATGCTCAGATGGCCAAGCAGCAGTTTGGGCGGTGCCTGCACCTCCACGCAATCGTATTGATAGCAATCCCCAGTCTTGTCTGTCACAAGAACGGAACTGGAGTCAGGAGCAAATGCCAAAGCACTCGAGGCACGAGCCAAGGCACGCACAGAAAGTAACAATGCATGCTCCGGCCGGCTTTTGTAGACCAGCAAAGCCTTTTGCCCGACAGTAGTTAGTGCTATCAGCTGTCTATCTGGTGAATAACACACATTTAATATTGACACCTCTAAATTGGATCCACAAGTCGCTTTCGGCTCGCCCTCGTCCGTTGCTTCGATTTTAAATCCACATGTGGTTAGGTCAGCTGGCACCTCGATGTCTTTAAAGATTTGCAAGTCATTCGGATTGAGGAACAGCACTTTACGTCCATGGCTAAGCACCAATTCAGGTTCGGTGTAAAAAATAGTTGTCATTTCTTCTGACTCAACCAGGAGTGCGTTGTTTATGGCTACATGTGAAAGTTGATAAAATGCTAGAAAGCAGTGACTGAGTCACGCATAAATTGTAGCTCCGAGTTAATCGAAAAAAAAAAATATCAACAGGTGGCAACGCCACGAAAAACAGGAAAGCAAAATAAGTTTGTTTCTAATAAATGATTGAAATAGAAATACAATTCATATTGAAAATTAGCCAAATACAAAAATGTATTTAATTATTTGACAGTCATATATTTAAAATAATTGCAAGTCAAATTTAGCGACGATTGCATTATCAATATCCTTGCTATCGATAAGTGCGTTTTAAATGTTATCAAATGGTAGCAGGTGTCAGCGCGCGCACTTAAATAATTAATCAAACTATTCAAATTGTTATTCTAAGATAAGCAAGCAGCAATAATATATGAGAAAATTGTTTTATTTCGTAAGAATCGTAATACTAATAAAAAAAAATGTTTATAAAAATACAGGTCTACATATATACAACTTGTGGCGATAATAGTTCAGGGTGCTATGGCTACGTGCTAATACCAATAATCGACTCAATTGAGAAACTCAGCTTAGGTTTCTTGGCGATGGGCGTTGGCGCGGGTGTAAGCGTAAAGTGCGGCAGTGATTGATATGTCTGCTGTTGCTTCTGTTGCGTAACAGCAGCTGCTGCGGCGGCATTACCTAATAGATCATAAAAGGCGTTGCCAATTGCTGTTGGTGGCGTTGACAAAGGAGCTGCTGAGCCGCCTCCGACGCTGCCGACACAGGCGGAGCTGCCAAGGAGCGTTGTATCAATTGCATAGTTCAGTTCCGGATCAGCGAACGCACGTCGCTTGCGCATGCGTTCCAGTAACGGCGAATTGAACGTGGGAAACCGCTGTTTGTATTCTGCAAGTAGAATAAGAAGACAGGAAAGGGGCAGGGCATTAGAATTGAAAATTACACGCGTCGAGTATGTAAGAGCAGGGAAGGGTGGAGCTCTTTGATCTCCCTCTTTCTTTGAGGTTGGCGTCAAATCCGTTGTACAAATTGCTTTCCAATTGTCTCAATTCGTTCAGCATGTGTATGCGTGCATACACTCAGAGAAAAGAGGGTATTGAAATTTAAATGAAATTCAATCAGAATATTGATATTGTTACTTTAAAATTATTAATATACATACATGCTCAATATTAATATGCAATCAGTCAAATAGTAAAGGAAAATTAAGTATATTATTAAGTATAAATGATTTTACATTACTATTTGACTGATTGAGACTAAATTGCAAATGTATAAATTGAGACTAGATTGAAAATGTATATTTATAAATTTCAAGTAACAATATTAATGTTCTGATTGCATTAGAGTTCTTTATATGTATCTCTTTCTCTGCGTGTAGCACATGGCAATTGAATCGTAATTTGAGCTACGCAGAACCCAATATACAGACCCTAGACCAAAAGACCATAACCAGACAGTACGGCACCAAATATTGACTGTGTGGATTTTCGTTCGTGTTTTTACTTGGAAACCAGATGGAAAAATAGTGAAAAAATGAAAATTCGATTGGTTTGGTTGTTTTTGTTGCCCTGTTGACTTTTGCCACACATTTGCTTCAAGAGGTTTTTCCGTTTTCACGTATCAATTTACACAAATGAAAATTGGGCTTGCCCTACAGATTGGACGTTTCTTTTATCCTCTTCTCTCCTTTCCCCTCCTCTACTCAGTCTGATTTTCTTTTCTTATTTTTTGACATAACGGACAATATGCGTGCATACGACAGGCGTTCAATTTCAGTGGGTGACGTTTTAACAAATTTGTTGCTCTCCTTATTGAAATTGTTGTTTTAGTAACGAATCAGGCATTTCCTGCCGTTCACGCTCACGCTCTCTCTCTCTCTCTCTCTCTCTCTCTCTCTCTCTCTCTCTATCTCTGTCTTCCTCGTTCCCTTCTTCACACTTTACTCATATTACAAGCCTTGCCAGACAGTCTGGCACCGCATGGTGAGCGCCCGCCCTAGATCAGTGGTAGCATGTTAGCTATTTTTAAGCTAAGTCTAGAATTTTTGACAGCTTGGCGCTTGTATGTTTAATGTATGTACTGATTGGCTTGAAAGTGAACTGAGCGTTAAGTCATGTATTGAAATCGGAAGCTGTAGAAAAAGCTATTAGAAAACTTCACATATTTTTTTATAGTAAGTTTATCCTTCGAGAAAGAAATTAATTCTCAGCCTTGGAGCTTTGGGAACAATTCGAAAAAATTTGATAGCTACAAATACAGTATTCTCATACTTGAGCCTCCAGAAAGACACTTGGTCTTTAGCTGGCATTCGGCTATTTAATGAATTTGGCTTGGCCAAATTGGCTTGGCTTGTGCCATCACTGATTTAACTGCGCTTACCTTCCATTGCGGCTGTGATGTGCAGCGTGGACTGCTGCAGATTGCGCAGCCTCTGCTTGTAGATGCGTTTCTGGGCGATCAAAACTTGACGCGTGCGCAGCGTATTAGCTGCCATTTGGCTTGGCTTGGTGGGTGTTACTTGCTGCTCCTCGTCGCTGGCCGGCTCTACAGCGGGCTGCTGCGACGTTGTTTGTGTAACCTCCAGAGCCTCCATAGTCTGTTGGCGTCTTAACGCTACCTGGGCGGCCATTACACGCTGTCGATCGACCACTAGCTGACAGTTGGGGCAACAGCATTCACGCCAGCGGCAAAGCTTCTTGTGACCCTTGACACAGGAGATGACGCCATGATTGCGACAGCGCGCGCACTTGGGTGTTCTCAGCAGGCGACGCTCCTTGGCGCTGGCCAGATTAACCGAAAGAGACTGCATTGCAAAGTGACAGACTAGAGAGGGCGAGCGAGAGAGATATATAGATGTAATCAGCTGCACGTTCAGCTAAATACTGAAAGGATCTGGCGCACGTCTTCTCTTATTTAAAACACAATCACAAAGGATCGTCTGGCTGCTCGCCCAGACAGTCCGACGACGTCAAGTGGTCTACCCTGCTGGTGTCTGGCTCTGTCACTGCTTCTGCTTCTGCTTCAGTTTCTTATGCTGCTGCCTCTGCTTCTGCCTCTGCCCGCCCATTGGCTGCTAATCGCATCGTCTATATATAGACGATCCAATGGCTGCACAGCTGGCTGCCATCAGCCAAATTGAAATTGGAAATTCAATTGAAAACCGCAGAAAAGATACAAATGTATCATTCTCTTTGTTTTTTGAGATACAACTGTATTTCTTATAGACGTTTAGCTGAGATACAAATGTATCTATGCGTCTGTTCTAGGATATGCAAATGAGATAAAAATATATATTTAAATGTATTTCTTGTATGAGATATGACCGTATCTTTATGTTTGTTTCACTGATATACAAATATATCTTTATGCTCAGATTGATCCATCTGAGGGGCATGGGTCTATATCTTTTATTCTCCATATAATATCTCTCTAAATAAAAAGTCACCCTCGGTTTATCAAGAGAATATTACGAGAATAGATAAGGATTTCGGACATAAATTTTAATAACAATTGTTTACAAGAGAATATATTCACAATTGAGTCAGTTTCAGGCCTTTTTTTTAAGTATTTGTTTATTTAATTTCAATTTGATTTTGTATTTGTATAACGACGATTTGTAGCATTTTCATTATATATCTTTACATTTATCCAATATAGATATATATGGTATATCTGTATATATAGTATAKTATCTGTATAATTTGTTTTAA